TACTGCTAAATCGTTTTTTGGAGGAAAGTTGAGGAAAGTAAAAAAACAGTGTATAAATGAATGTAACTCCTAGAAGACATTTTCAGAGATGTAGCCATGTTAATTTATTTCAACATGTGAAAAAGTACTCTTTGAATTCTGTGGTTTTATGTATCAGGACACAATAAAAATCATCTGGTCCTTAACTGGTCTGAAAATTAGGTAAATAGATGAACAATACATGACATATTACATTGTCTCATGATTTATTTTACAAAAATAAAGCCAAAATGGAGAAGCCATGTGTGAAAAACTAAGTACACCTTTACTGCTTCCCTAGGAATTAGGAGGCTAAGTAGTAGCCAGGTGCTGTTAACCAAATTCTCTTGAGTAATTGATCCTCAGCAAGTGTGGCCACCTCTATAAAAGCCAAAATTTTAGCAGTTTGTGGTCTGGAGCACTCAGGTGTGTATTAACACAATGCCAAGGAGGAAACACATCAGCAATGATTGGAGCAGTTGTTGCTTCCCATCAATCTGGAAAGGGTTATAAGACTATTTCCGAACAATTTAAAGTATATCATTAGTATGGAATGATTATTCACAAATGGAAAACTTTCAAGACAGATGCTAGTCTTCCCAGGAATGGACACGTGATTGAGTTCATTAGGAGACTGCAGCAGTTCCTCCTTTTTGGTGGGAAATAACCACTGAGATTCTTTCAAATGATTGAGGTTTATTTGCATTAACATTAGGTGATTCAACAATGACTTCAACAGAATCAAAACAACTAAGGTTAGGTAATTGTCCATAGGGAGTAGGTGAAAATCCCAACTGTAAGTTAGGAGAGTTTATTGAGGGGCTGGTCCAAACTGCTCTTTGTCCTTGTGCTTCCTCAGGGGAACACTCTGCACTGCACATATTGTGCCACAACAAAGATGTCTGGCCCAGTCTTCCTTGCACAGTGGCTGATTGAAGGTCGGATCTGGTCTGATCACCTTCCTACAATGACCTTGACCTCGAGGAAAGACCACCATTGTCCATTCTTGTGTCTCTTTTATGGTCACCTTTTTTCTCCTTTAGATCAGGGTCTGGCAGTAATCCTCCCACTTTCAAGTTGTGAAAGCCATCTAATAGCCTGCATATTTTTTCATATCTAAACTCTTTCTCCTTCCTCTCTCCCTTGTTTCATCCTTCTTTATCTCCTTCCATGGTATACTGAAAACGCTCCTTCTCTCTTGATCTTTTATATCCTCCTCCCACACTGGCAGAGTTAACTCCTCCTCCTTTCCTTTTGCTTCCTCTATCAAAAAGATTTCTACTTTTCTTTTTTTCTCCTTTAATTCCTTCCTTTTTCCCTCCTCCTTTCCCTTTCCTTCCTCTACCAAAAAGATTTCTACTTTTCTTTTTTTTCTCCTTTGATTCCTTCCTTTTTTCTCTACAACCAATCTTTCCCTTTCTATTACTTACCTCTCCTTTTTCTCTGATACTTCTACAGTGGACCCTTGACTTACAGATGGCTTGACTTACAGACTTTTTGAGTTACAGACTTCTCTGGCCGCAAAATTTAGGTTTGACTTGCAGCCTGAGAATTGACTTACAGACTAGAAAAAAACCAAAATGGAACAAAAATGGCCTGTTACGGGATTAATCGGTTTTCAATGCACTGTAGGTCAATGGAGACTTGACCTACAGACTTTTTGACTTGAGAACCGCCTTCCAATACGGATTAAGTTCTCAAGTCAAGACCCCACTGTATTCAAGGGGACGGCTCACTTTCATTTTTCTCTCTCTTTCCTGTTTCTCCTTCACAACACCCAAGCCAGTTCACACCAAGGTCAGATCATGCAGTGCTCTGAGAAACTGCAAACAAACCCAAGAGTTACATCTACTCTATAGGCCTCAATTAGCATGTTAAATGTTAGAGTTTATAACACTTAGAAAAAGACTGAGCAGGTATGGTTTGTTTAGAAGGGTTGCCAGGAGAAAACCTCTTCTCTCTAAAAAGAACATGACAGCACAGTTTAGATTGCAAAGTTGCATCTGGGCAAACCACAAGACTTCTGGAACAATGTCCTTTGGACAGATGAGACCAGAGTGGAGATGTTTGGCCATAATACAAAGCACCATGTTTGTTTAAAAACCAAACACTGCATATCAGTACAAACAACTCATACCAACTGTCAAGCGTGGTGGAAGGGAGATGATATGGGCTTGTTTTGCAGCCACAGGACCTGGGCACCTTGCAATCATAGAGTTGGCCATGAAATCCTCCGTATACCAAAGTATGCTATGTGAAATGTGAGGTCATCTGTCCAGTAGCTAAAGCTTGGCCAAAATTGGGTCGTGTAACAAGACAGTGATTCCAAGCATACCAGCAAATCTTCAGCAGAATGGCTGAAAAAGAAAAGAATCAATGTGTTGCAATGGCTCTGTCAAATTCCAGGCCTCAATTCAATTGAAATGCTGTGGCAGGAGCTGTGAAGGAAGGAGGGCCCTGGCCAGGACTCCACTGGGCAAAGATTCCAGCTGGCCCCCCACTTTGGAGGCAAGGAGGGCAGGCGGGTGCCCTGTGCATTTCCTCGCCAGGGCTCACTCTCTCCATGACGGAATGCCCGCCTACACACAGCATCATTGGAAATAAAATGCCTGGGGGTAAAATGCCTGCGGCGATGGCCTCATTACACCCAGGATTTTCCTTTTTACCCCATTTGGGGTAATTTACCCCTGTTCTTTGACCACTGAGCTAAGTAATTACATTTACTGATTCTTAAGTCAAGCTAGCAACACATGGCTGTGCTCACATTATACAGTGTGCCTTTTCCCAAGCACTGTCCTGTGGAATTTAGGCCAGTGTGGGCCATGATGTATGGGACAGGCCCTAATCTTCATAAGTTTCTATGTGCATTTTCAGGATTGGAAAGACTGCAAAATAGGTCTTGTGTGAGCCTTTCAGGGGAAGGCTTTCCACAGCATGGAATGTCCTCATTACTAGCCACTCACCTCACTTTGTTTGACACGGGCATCTGGAAGAGGGTCACAAAATTAACGTCTCTCAGCAGTGCACCTTAACAGGTGGACATGTGAGCAGATTGTCATTCAGCTAAGCTTGCCACAAGGTATCTAGAACTTTGGGGACCAATACCTGGTATGTTCTGGCCAGCTGCAGGAGCTCCTGGGTGTGATGGATTGGGGGAACAGGGTAATGGCCAGTCTTGATAGTGCAACACTTGGAATGGTTCAGGTACTGTATATCACTTTGCTTGAAGAAGATATTGATGTTCAACTGAGCCCTTCTGCTCCTCCAAGCCAATCTCCTAGGTTTCTTCCTGCTGTTGTCAAGAATATCTATCTTAGAGCACTTGACTCATGATTCCCAGGTGAATCTTTGGGGTTCTTGTATCTTTTTATTATCAGGACCAGGGTTTTCAGTATTGCTTGGCAGGTATCTCCTCTGTTGGTATTGGTTCCTTAGCTTCTTGGTGTCATGACAATATCAACATTTTGTACTGGACTTAGAAGTGAACTGTAAGCCACTCCCAGTCTCAGAGCACTGAGTATGAGCATATGAGCTACTTTGTTGCTACTGTATGTTGAATCATTTGAAAATTTCAGAGGTAACCCAGCAAAAGTGCAATACAGTAATCCAAACAGCAAGTTACCAGATGGTTGATAACTACTTCTAGGCCATCCCTATCCGTGTAAGAGGGCATGTCAATTTAAACTGGTAAAAGGTGATTTAATCCACTGAGTTCACCTGTATCATGGCAGATAGTGTTGTATCCAAGAGCACATCCGAACTGCAGTCATGATCCTTTAAGTAAATGCAACCCTCTCCAGAACAAAGACTAATAAAAAAAGACTAATAAAAGTAAAAGTAAGTAACTGAATCTCCTTGAACCAAGAAGATATCTATTTTTTACTCCTGGAAATCACTGGCTGATTTCCAATAGTAAGTCACAACTAGCGTAAGCCCATTTGAACTTACAGCATTGTTGTGTTTTTTAAATGTTTATAAATTGGTTCTTTTCTATTCTGTTCTATATTTTGTGGTATGGAAGACCCTCTGTTTTCCTTGCCCAAATTTCTAATAATTAGAATAACATTTACCTGCCTCCAACATTCCCTCTAATCTGCATCCCTGCTGTGCAGGAGCCTTGCCAGTCTGTGCATTGGGGGAGGGGTCACTTGAAACCTGGAAGTAAACAGGTATGGATCTTGAATAATTAGATATTTCCTGACCAAATTCTTGATGGTCTTGAATTGGAGTTCATCAGTGTTGCTTCTTATACAGTGGGGTCTCTACTTAAGAACTTAATCCGTATTGGAAGGTGGTTCTCAAGTGGAAAAGTTCTTATGTAGAATCTGCATTTCCCATAGGAATGCATTGAAAACCATTTAATCTGTATCTGCTCTTTTCCGTCCATAGAAACTAATGGGAAGCTGCTATTCCGCCTTCTACCACTAGAGGGGGATATTTTTTCTTTTTTTTTTTCCCTTAGGTCAGGGAACAGTGTTAAAAGCACTTCTGACGAAGCTAATTTTGAAGCAATGGACTGAAAACCAATTAATCTGTTCTGGCCGTTTTTTTGTTATGTAGAGGTGCGTTCGTACATTGAAGCATTAGTTCCCATAGGAACTAATGCAAAGCTGGTTAATATGTACTCTACCACTAGGGGGAGAACTTTTTTTAAACCTAAGATGACCTAAGGTTAAAAAAAGAGCAGGAAAGTTTTTTTTCCTGTTCTTATCTTGGATTTTTGTTCTCAAGTAGAAGCAAAATTTGGCAAATGGAGCTGTTCTTAAGTGGAATTGTTCTTAAGTAGGGACGTTCTTAAGTAGAGACCCCACTGTATGAAGTTGCAGATTCTCTTTTAGGTAAAGTAGGTGCAAAGTACAAGTGGATAGCCAATTTCTAGAGGTGTCTTTTGACTGTTCTTGCTCCCTCTTAGCTTCCTCTGTGATGAAAATTTATTATTTAGTCTGTTTGTTTTAAGTGTGGTTTTTATTCTTATTTACCAGGGTCCCCCGCTGGCATGTCTCTTGTAAAGAAAGTCCTTCTTCTGTGTCTTTGTTGTCAGCAAATGAGAACTATCTCTTGGCAAATGTGGATGGGAACATCCAGGAAAAGGTAACAGGTCTCTTCTGGCTCCTATGAATCATTGTGTCATTTTCAAGATGCCTCCCCTGATTTCTTTATATTCTGTTCCAGCATTTTCCCTCTAGAAGTGTTGCACTGCGGACTTGCTCATAAGCAAAATGACTTAGCAGTCGTTTTAGGAGCACAAATGGCAATAATTTCTAACATTCTGTTTTTGATGTTTACCTATATTTCATATGCATCCATCATTTTAAATTGTGTAACAATGGCATGAGAAAAGAAAGCAAGTATTTTCCTGTATTGCAAATCCTCTATTCCCAAACTCAGCAGTTCTACATGACTGAGATTATATTTGCTGTTTCTAGTATTGTACTACCTCACTTTTTCTTCAGGATGCTTAATTGTGCAACTAAGATGCATCCCGGCTCCTTGTCCATTTGTCGCAATTAGCTGTGGCATGTTATGGAAATCTTATGTGAATAATAATCAAAGTTCAAATCAAATTTTCTACATTTTAGTTTCTCAAACAATTACAGTGTATATGATGATGGCATGTAAATGTTTCAGAGTAGTAATAGAATATAAGTAGTCTATATTCACATTGTTTGGTTTTGCTTGACCTGTATACTTTTGCTTAATGATTTGTTAAAGGTAACATCAATTCTATATTGAGGTTTTGGATTTAAGATAAGAAACAAAAAATCTGGACATTTTTACTCTTACCTTTGTAAGTGAAAACATAAGTATCAGTGCCTTATTATAAAGAAAAATCATGGCCTGCAACATTTCCATTAGATGAGAATGGATGGTATATCACTTGTCACTTCATAATATATAATGGCCATTTTCCTCTTTCATAGTTTATCTAATTTAGCAGGAATGATGGTGCTGGCAAATTGCTGCGTATTAAAGAATTTCTGCTTTGATTTTGGGTTGTGTGCAACTCTAGCACAATAAGTGGATATCACATTCAACCTAAAATCAAAGCAGCAACTCTATAATTAGCAGCAAATTGTTGCTGGACATCAGTCCTGCTATAATTGTAGATCTTTGCAAGAGGATTTTGACCAGTCTAATTAATACAAATTATATACCTAACTGTAGTGAAATCCTGTGGGAAAAATACTTAGAGAAAAAAAGAAGAAGGCAAGGGGGGTGTTCCTTATTCTGGGGGCCCTGAAAAGAAGAAAAGTGATAAATTCTTCCAATAAATAACATTTTAAAATGGAATATTTAGAAGGAAGAGTATGGGTTGAATTAATTGGAAAGTAGTTTTGGAGACTGCTATGACAATTGAATTGAAAGAAATTATAAATGGAAGTGGAACAATATGTAGAGATAAAAAAAAGTTACTTCAAGTCAGAACTGATTTACAGTGACCCTAACAGGGTTTTTAAGGTAAGTAATTCAGTGGTGCCCCGCATAGCGACGTTAATCCATTCCAGGATTAATGCTGCTATCTGGAAACATTGCTAAACGGAACTGAAAACCCCATAGGAACGCATTAAACTCCGTTTAATGCGTTCCTATGGGGCAAAAACTCACCGGTAGGCGAAGATTCCCCATTCGGCCGCCATTTTCACCGCCTCGTTAAGCGAGGGCAGGGCGCGAAAACGGAGCGAGCAGCCATTTTATTCTTCCGGCGGCCATTTCGGAACCGCCAATCAACTGTTTTTAGAACATCGCAGTGCAAAGATCGGTAAGTGAAACGCTTACCGATCATCACAATGCGAGTTTTGGCCTATAATTGAAAGAAATTCTAAATGGAAGTGAAATAATATGTAGAGATAAAAAAAGTTACTTCAAGTCAGAACTGATTTACAGTGACCCTAACAGGGTTTTTAAGGTAGGTAATATATTTAAGGAGTGCTTTTGCCAGTTGTACACCCTCAGTGAGTTTCCGTGAGTCACTTCCAGGATTAATGCTGCTATCTGGAAACATTGCTAAACGGAACTGAAAACCCCATAGGAACGCATTAAACTCCGTTTAATGCGTTCCTATGGGGCAAAAACTCACCGGTAGGCGAAGATTCCCCATTCGGCCGCCATTTTCACCGCCTCGTTAAGCGAGGGCAGGGCGCGAAAACGGAGCGAGCAGCCATTTTATTCTTCCGGCGGCCATTTCGGAACCGCCAATCAACTGTTTTTAGAACATCGCAGTGCAAAGATCGGTAAGTGAAACGCTTACCGATCATCACAATGCGAGTTTTGGCCTATCTAAACATCGCAATGCAATCACATTAGCGATCACAAAAAATGTGTCGCTATGCGAATTTGTCGTTAAACGGTGCACTCGTTAAGCAAGGCACCACTGTATATTTTAGGAGTGCTTTTACCAGTTGTATACCCTCAGTGAGTTTCTGTGAGTCAGCAAAGATCCAAACCCAGGTCTGTCCACTACACCACATTGGGTATCTGTCGGATACAATTAGATAATCCCTTTACAATGAACATGATCCCATCTGTTGAATAGAGAACCCCCAATGCTAATTGACCTCCAGAGATTAAGTATTCACTAATGAAAATGTACATAGTCCCAATGTTTATATAATGTTCTGTTTGCAAACTTACCCCTGAAAGGTAGGATAATAAAGAGAACTTAACAGTATAAATATTTGATTCGGAAGCTGATGTTTCAAAATCAAATGACATGTACACCCACTTAAATATATTTGTTTCTTTCAAATAGGAAGAGACTGATAGATCCACTGCAACATTGTCTTTTGAATACACTGCTCCTATTGTAGATACTTATACTGATGAATGTTCAGTTGACTGTGTGAAGCAAAGAGAGGCAAGTCTTTTCATTTTATTTAAAATACGTTGTTCTTATCCTCTTTATGGAATGTAGATGTGTACTTCTTTGGATCTCTCCATAATAAAATTTAGTGGAAATAGGATTTCATTATTACTTGATTAATTAATTAGGCCTACAGAAGTCAAAATTTCTACAGCTGACTACACTAATCTTGGTTATTTCTGGGCCACTACAATTGTTTCTTTTTTT